ATCATGCACAAAGGGTGACCACGAACAGGTAACCAAGAGTGGATTTGTTTGCATTAATGAACTAGCTATTTTTACTCTATGATATTTCTTCCCTTCCTTTTGTGGTTTACAATTTGAATGACTGGAGGAATTGAAGATTCTCTTCTTTTAGAGCTTTCCCTGGGCCCTATACACTTGGATGTATTGTCAGGAGACCCACAGAACCCATCTGAGTTATGCAATGCTGTCAGACCTTCTTATTTATTTAAGGGTTCAATGACATCCAGTAAGCATTTTTCCACTATTTAAGGTTTGTGGAGCAAGAGGGCACATTCATGTCACTGAATTTTGATATATTCTACCTCACCTTTTATACTGATATGAAATTGATGGACACTGGTTAATGGACTTGTTTATTTGCACTTGTGTATCACTGCATATTTATTATTATCATTATTATTGTTATTATATTTTAGATGATTATTATGTTAAGTGGTATACACATTTAACTTTATGTACATTAGGAATTCTTGTAAATGATTTTGTATAGATATTTTCATTCACATTTTTTTAAAATTGATTGCACTTATATACATTAATATATGTGTGTATTTAAGCCCTTTTTAAATGTTGGATTGACTCACTTTCTGTTAATTGAAATTGATTCCATATTTCAATGTGCTTTTGGGGAACAGGATGTGGGTGTAAGATCCTCGTCCCCTCAACATTGAGACAAGATGCTTTGCTTCTGGGGGGCTTTGCCCCCCCACATCTATGCTACCCTTCCAATGTAGAATGCTTCTGGCTTAATATGCTTTAGGAAGGGGCTGTATCATGCTTGCTGTAACTCCTTTTCTAGCCACTCCTGCTGCATGCTTGTATTAGGGTCTTTTGTGCAATTTAAGAGGACCACCAAACACTTTTTTTTTTATTTTTTCTTGTTCCTTTAAGATAAAAAAAACTAGAAAGGAAATTCCATTATCTCTGCATCTATGGGTGCTGCAAAGTACCATCTACTGGCTTAATCTGAGAGTCACTTTTCTAGAAAATCAAGGGATGTCAGGTTGTGTTTATTATTTACAACTTAGATCAGCAGTGTATAGGAGAAGGGAAATCACAGAGTTTCTGTTTTTCTTTTTAAATTTTCTACATCTAAGGGACAGTTGAAGCTATATGACCCCCAAAACTGTAAAGTTTTGACACGGGAGGGGAGTGACATTTTTCTAAAGCTTTAGGGGTTAATAACAAGTTTGCATACACTTTCCTGAAGGTCTTCTTTAAATAAGCATGGATATAGGGTCTGTTTCCAGGAAAATAATCTTTTGTTCAATATCAAAGAGATGATAGGAAATGACAGGGATCTCATTACAAACCATGATATGCAGTAAGAGTTATGTACGCTTGTATAATTTGTCCGTAAAGCTATGTATTCTTATGTAAATATTACCTGTGTTTGGAAACATTTTCAGACATTTTCATCTTTGTGGACAACAAAATCTTGTTAACAGTTGTAAAAACTGGCATTATTTTTGCAAGCAAAATCTCTTTTCCTATCTTGAATTTTTATAGTTATTAGTTTTGTATTACTCCTGTCCCATCAACAAAGACAAGATTTTCCTCAAGAATAGGCATTTAACAATGTGTTATTTTCTGAAATAATAACAGATGGAGTGTGATAGACACAAGGATGTGGAAAGCTGGCAATGTGCATGTACTTCCTCCCACATTCACAGATTTGCAGGTTTAAATACATGCTTAGGCCCAGGGTACACATCCTGGAAAAGTGAATAGAAATCTGAGGTGTATTACTAGAAGTATCAGCAGCAGGAAGAAGGACGTCCTGATTCTCCTATATAGAACTTTAGTTATACCTTATTTATTATACTGTGTCCTGTTCTGGAGGTCTCACCTACAGAAATATATATAGATATGGTAGAACGAGTCCAGAGATGAGCGACAAAAACACTTAAAGGTCTTTGAGGATAAAACATATCAAGAGAATCCAGGAATGTAATATGTACAGACTTGAGCAAAGAAGGGAAAGGGAAGACATGATTAAAACTAGATGTGCAGTTCATTCTTTTACGATTCATTTTTGCATTTGTTTCATTCGGATGATGTCACATGATGCAATAGCGGTTTGGGGCCATGGGGAAATTAATTTTATTTTGAATTTGTTTGCCATTTCTCTTGATGAGCAACATTTATCAAATCCACCTGCACCAAATAATATACGAAACAAATGCGGAAGATACAAAACGAATTCCAAAAATTAATCCATTCAACATAATGAATATAATTAAACAAGATTCTTCAATCAATGAATGCATCCAAAACTAAACAAAATGAAAATTCCTAGCATGTATATGTCTAATAAAAACCTTTAAGTACATTAAAGGTGTGGATAATATTCAAGAAGGCATTATTTTCAATATAAAGCTATGATCAAAATCATGGGGACAAACTAGCATAATAAAAATATAAAACTAGCCTTTGAAAGTATTATTTTATTGAAAGAGTAGTTGATATGTGGATTAGACTTCCATCAGAGATAAGGAGTCAGGCAGCAGTAATTAAAGTCAAAAGTACTTAAGAAAAAAAAAGAAAAAAACAGGGCAGACTCAACAGACTGTTTGGTCTTTTTTCTGCTATCACTCATCTATATTTCCATGTACATTACTGTGCAAATGTTTTAGGCAGCTGTAAATTAAGAATGTTTTCAAAAATAGTGTTAAAGTGTTACTAAACCCAGGACCCTGCAATTACTATATCTGGTCTCCCACAGTACACACAACTTGGAAATGCAATTATTTTAGTAAATATAAACTGATAAATATTTTTTTTAATCAGCAGTATATAACTGTCTTGTGAGATCTATCAGTGTCTGGCTCAGCAGTGGTTAAAGCTTTTAGGAGGAGTTTTCATTCTGCTCTGACTGTCCTATGAGACTGCATAACCTCTGACCCTCTGTCTGGACAGTGCTGATTGGCCCTGTGCTGATCACATGTACCCTCCCAAAGAAAAAAAAACCTCTCTAGCAATACACACTAAACTGAACATGTGCAGAGTAATCCCTAGAGCTCTGTACTATCAGCAGACAGATTGTGCACACACAACAGAGGACACGGCCAGCGTTTGAGACAATCACCTCTCCAGAGACCATTCATTGTGTGCCTGCCTTTCTTCTAAATTTTGTGAGTTGGGGGCGCATGCGCGGCCGGCTCCGGGATGGACGCGCTGTGATCAGAGCTCCGTCCACCCGCCAGCTCAGACGCAGCTCACACTAGCACCAGGGAGTGCCCGATCCAGCCCATAAGGATCCAGGGACACCCGACACACGATGCCATGCCGCCACAAAGTGCCAGGACAGCCAGGGAAGCTTACAAGCTTCTTCCCTGCTGTTACCTCATGCAGCCAAGATGGCGCCGGCTGCATAACAAAGGGCCACAGCACCTATGCAGGAGACACTACACAGCACCAGCTGGATCCTAGGCTCGGAGCACCACTGTACCCAAGAGACCCGGGTTAGTCCTCTCCTCCCCTGTCTCCCACTACAAGCAGCCCAGCCAAATCCAGACCCAGACTGGACACTGACTCCCATACTGACAGTCAGCACCTCTCACAGATATTACCTCAAAATATTACTCCATCTTTGATCGAATCTTTCCCTGCTTCTGACCAACCTATCACTGAAATAGCCATGAAAAACATGCTTCTCTCTCTGCGACAAACACTTCACAATGATATGACGGCATCACTATCCCAAATCTCAAATGTAATACAAAGGCAGGAACACCGTTTAAGCCATATTGATAACAAAATGGGAGAAATTATAGAGCGCATAATGACCTGATTGACGCGCACGCAGACCATGAAGCTGATATTGAACAAATTAATCTTAAGCTAGCGGACTTAGAAGACCGCTCCAGGTGGAACAACATTAAATTCAGAGCCATTCCTGAATCCGTAACCAACTATACGCTATTGCCATATATCCAACAATATATGAAACACCTCATACCGTCACTATCGGATGTGGAGCTTGCCATAGACTGGGCACATAGGATACTTAAACCATCATTCCTACCAGACTCGATCCCAAGAGATGTTTTGGCACGAATACACTTTTACCATGTAAAAGAAAAAATAATGTCAGCCGCCAGAAACCCCGTCTCACTACCGCCGTCACATGCAAATTTTAAATTATTTTCTGATTTGTCCAAAGCCACACTCTTAAACCGCAAAAAGCTAGTCACCATAATCAAAGAATTGCGGAACCATGGAATTGGCTTCCAATGGGGTTTCCCCACAAAGCTTACCGTCAAACTTCACGGCAAAACCTACACCATCAAAACGTTAGAAGCAGGCATCGATCTTCTAGAAACTTGGAAAATAATACCTGTGGTATCTCAACAATTCCCCTCTGCCATTACACAACAAATGGATGCGGAGTGGTCCTGACCCACCAGGCCCTCTGACCACAAAATAATCACTATCCTGGGCACTCTCCCTTATTATACCACTTGCTGGCAAACGGCCCTTCATCGGTTATCTCCATGTTACAAAATTTCTTTCAGCATGACCTATCTTATGGTCTATGCTTGTTCACACCCCCTCGTTTCGAAGTAACAAGCCACGCCACTCATATTACTTGTATTTTTCGCAAGTTCTTTTTTATCCTCTCCACCCTCCTCACCCTCCTGCTCCACCAGTCCTTTGAGTCAACCAGCCGCTCAACTAAAATTCCCAAGAAGGCAAAAAATACACCACGTGTGTCAGGGCTCCCGGGTGTGACCAGAGGTGTGTGACTGACGCAGGGAAACGCAGACTTCAGATAAGTTTTAAACAATTTATTAACACTAACAATACAAACATAAACGCAGTGCAATACTAAAACATAACACAGTGCAAACGAACCAAACCAAACCACCCACAGATAACAGTACATACAGTGCAAGCGTCGTCAGGCAGGCTGGGTCAATATCAATCGGGCAGGTAGGTACAGGGGGAGCAAGCGGAGAATAGTCAGGTCACGAGCAGGGTACAGCAACTAACAGGCAGGTAGGTACAGGGGGTCAGGCAGAGAATGGTCTGGGTCACAAGCCAGGGATCAGAACAGGAGAAGTCAGCAGAGGTCAGAATCAAGCCGGGTCAGCAACAAGACAGGAACAGGAACAGGAGCAGGAACAAGATACAGGGCCCAGGAAAAAACACAACACCAAGGCAGAGTCTGCAGGTCTGAATGTCCCTTAAATACACCAGTATAATTAGTTCCAGGTGTTTGACTGGCTGCAAGGTTGAGTCTCTGATTGCTGGGAGCACCCGCTGGCCAGCCCTGGTACTGCAGCTCATAAGGCAGATGAGTCCCACTATTGCTGGCCAGTCCATTCCTGACAGTACCCCCCCCCCTCAAGGAGCGGCCTCAGGATGCTCCAAACAGTCCTAGCTGGGCAAAATGTTCCACCGCCCGGGTCTGGTAACTGACGGGATATCAAAGACTGGCACACCAGGCAGGACTCCGGGCAGCGGCACACCAGGCAGGGGCACACCGGGCAGAGGCACATCAGGCTGGACTCCGGGCAGAGGCACATCGGGCTGGACTCCGGGCAGAGGCACATCGGGCTGGACTCCGGGCAGAGGCACATCGGGCTGGACTCCGGGCAGAGGCACTCCAGGCAGCGGCACACCGGGCAGAGGCACATCGGGCTGGACTCCGGGCAGAGGCACATCGGGCTGGACTCCGGGCAGAGGCACATCGGGCTGGACTCCGGGCAGAGGCACATCGGGCTGGACTCCGGGCAGAGGCACATCGGGAGATTACCAGGTGAAGCAGCAAGCACCGGGCCCCCAGTCGGGGCGACAGGCATCGGGCCCCCAAGCGGAGCGGCGGGCGCCGGGCCCCCAGGAGGGGCGACAGGCATCGGGCCCCCAGGCGGGGCGACAGGCATCTGGCCCCCCGGCGGGGCGACAGGCATCGGGCCCCCAAGCGGAGCGGCGGGCGCCGGGCCCCCAGGAGGGGCGACAGGCATCAGGCCCCCAGGCGGGGCGACAGGCGGGCACCAAGTCACCAGGCACGACAGTGGGCACCGAGTCGTCTGGCAAGACCGCGGGCACCGAGTCAACTGGCGGAACAGCGGGCATCGAGTCAACTGGCGGAACTGCGGGCACCGAGTCGTCTGGCAAGACTGCGGGCACCGAGTCGTCTGGCAAGACTGCGGGCACCAAGTCGTCTGGCAAGACTGCGGGCACCGAGTCGTCTGGCGGAACAGCGGGCACCGAGTCAACTGACGGAACAGCGGGCACCGAGTCATCTGGAAAAACTGCGGGCACCGAGTCGTCTGGCAAGACTGCGGGCACCGAGTCGTCTGGCAAGACTGCGGGCACCGAGTCAACTGGCGGAACAGCGGGCATCGAGTCAACTGGCGGAACTGCGGGCACCGAGTTGTCTGGCAAGACTGCGGGCACCGAGTCGTCTGGCGGAACAGCGGGCATCGAGTCAACTGGAGGAACTGCGGGCACCGAGTCGTCTGGCAAGACTGCGGGCACCGAGTCGTCTGGCAAGACTGCGGGCACCGAGTCGTCTGGCAAGACTGCGGGCACCGAGTCGTCTGGCGGAACAGCGGGCAGCAAGTCAACTGGCGGAACTGCGGGCACCGAGTCGTCTGGCAAGACTGCGGGCACCGAGTTGTCTGGCAAGACTGCGGGCACCGAGTCGTCTGGCAAGACTGCGGGCACCGAGTCGTCTGGCAAGACTGCGGGCACCGAGTCGTCTGGCAGGGCAGTGGGCACCGAGTCACCAGGTACGACAGCGGGCTCTGAGTCAATTGGCACGACAGCGGGCACCGGATCAGGTACCGGATCATCTGGATCAACAGCAGGCATCGAGTCAACTGGCCTAATAGGATCATCAGGCTGGATCAGTTCATTATGCTGGGTAGAGGCATCCGGCTGAGTAGAGGCTTCAGGCTGAGTAGAGGCTTCAGGCTGAGTGGAGCATCAGGCTGAAGAGAGGCATCCGGCTGAGTAGAGGCATCCGGCTGAGTAGAGGCTTCAGGCTGAGTAGAGGCTTCAGGCTGAGTAGTAGAGGCTTCAGGCTGAGTACAGGCATCAGGCTGAGTAGAGGCATCAGGCTGAAGAGAGGCATCAGGCTGAACCACGGAAGGCAGGTTCTCAGACGGTAGGCTCACCGGTTTGGATACTGGCAGGATGGTACTGGTTGGAAAGAATTTTTGCTTTTTTCTGGTTTTAACTACTGGGGCACTGCAAGTAAACGCAGGTCTGCAAATGAATGGAGCAGCTGGAGACAGAGAAGAGCTGGAGGATGGAACAGGGGAAGGAACAGTCGCTACAGAGGGCTTCTTTACAGGGTTAAAGGCAGGATAGGTGCAGCGAGTGGGAACAGGGTACTGACATGCGGTAGATAGCCAAGTATACTGGGCTGTAACTGGAGGAGCTGTTGGGAATACAGGAGTAGAGCTTTGAGGAGATAGATTAGAAGCAGGACTGGGTCTTTGTAAGCTGACTGAGGCTGGGTGTAACAAATCTGTCCATGTCTGCAGTATGGGTTGAACAAAGCTGAGCTTACACAAAGCCTGTCTGACCAAAGACTGCACTGCGTTTATACAATCTCTTAGTACCTGTGGTGAACATGTGGAATAACGCTCCAGAAAGTAACCCACATCATCCTCTAATAACCATACCTGGTCGGCACTAAATGGTGGCAAAAATTCATCCCTGCATTCGGGGGTACCAGATGAAACCAACTCAGCACAAACCTCAAACAATGGCTGCACCTCAGAGAACTCTGTGCCCTGATCTACTAGAACATGAGCGAGCCGTATACATTCTAGCAGTTCATCCCGGGTATACTCCTTCAGAGTTTGATAAGCATACTCCCTGTCATCAAACACTAGCAGATATAAATACGCAACCTCATCCAGATCCATCCTTCCCATCAACAAACCAAGATGGCTTCCCTGTGCAGCCACTTCTGGTCAGGATTGGCCTTGGTGTAATGTCAGGGCTCCCGGGTGTGACCAGAGCTGTGTGACTGACGCAGGGAAACGCAGACTTCAGATAAGTTTTAAACAATTTATTAACACTAACAATACAAACATAAACGCAGTGCAATACTAAAACATAACACAGTGCAAACGAACCAAACCAAGCCACCCACAGATAACAGTACATACAGTGCAAGCGTCGTCAGGCAGGCTGGGTCAATATCAATCGGGCAGGTAGGTACAGGGGGAGCAAGTGGAGAATAGTCAGGTCACGAGCAGGGTACAGCAACTAACAGGCAGGTAGGTACAGGGGGTCAGGCAGAGAATGGTCGGGGTCACAAGCCAGAGATCAGAACAGGAGAAGTCAGCAGAGGTCAGAATCAAGCCGGGTCAGCAACAAGACAGGAACAGGAGCAGGAACAAGATACAGGGCCCAGGAAAAACACAACACCAAGGCAGAGTCTGCAGGTCTGAATGTCCCTTAAATACACCAGTATAATTAGTTCCAGGTGTTTGACTGGCTGCAAGATTGAGTCTCTGATTGCTGGGAGCACCCGCTGGCCAGCCCTGGTACTGCAGCTCATAAGGCAGATGAGTCCCACTATTGCTGGCCAGTCCATTCCTGACAACGTGATCTGACTAAAGCACCAAAACCACACCACCCTATCCATGGAAGACCACTACCTATGACCACAGAATGCTCACCTTCCTCTACGAGTCAAGAAACAACTACCCTACTCATCTACTCCAATTACCAACCCTTGAAATGACTACCATCTCTTTGCTCAATGTTCATGGCCTAAATTCCCCTTTCAAAAGATCAATGCTCATGAAAGAAACTCACTCTCTACATGCGGACATACTTTGTTTACAGGAAACACACTTTGCATCGACTAAGATTCCCAAATTCCACCTCCAGCGCTTCTCCCATGTATGCATGGCAACGAATCCCCAAAAAAAATGGTGCCATCACAGCTATAAAGGACTCTATCCAGTTCCACCACATCTCAGAAACAGTAGACCCTTAAGGTTGTTATCACATCCTGATCTGTAAACTCAATGACATTGTTTATACCCTGGTTAACGTCTACGGCCCTAATACCAACCAACTACATTTCTACAACAAACTTCAACTAATTATCTCAACCCAAAAACAAGGAAGACTCCTCATCGGTGGCGACTTCAATATTATTGGCAATCCACTTCTGGACTCTACATCCAACAAACGTTCCTCCAAACATAACCTCAACCAATTCTTACACAACAATGACCTCTACGACATTTGGAGATGTCAGCATAGCACAGAAAGAGACTATACATATTATTCCTCAGCCCACCTATCCTACTCTAGAAATGACCTCTTCGTCACGGACAAATGGACCCTACTACACATAACTTCCTCCTCAATTGGCACCATAACCTGGTCAGACCACGCTCCAATCAGTATCACACTTGACGACAATCAACACTCTCTGATCCCCGAATCTGGAGACTAAATTCATCAATAATGAATGTTCCAGATGACAAACAACGCTTACTGGATGCGCACAACATGTTTTTTTAACTCAATGACACACCTGATATTTCCATTACCACTCTTTGACCCACTTACAAGGCATACATGAGAGTTACCCTCATACAATTAAATTCCCGCATCGCCAAAAAAAGAACCCAAAAAATTGACCAACTCCTCACATCAATAAAACTAAAAGAAGACATGAATAAACAAAACCCAAACCCCTCAACATCCGCATCCCTCACCTCAGACAGAAATAAACTCCGATCCCTTCTACTTTATAAATATGACCTGAACCTACAAAAAATGAAAGCAAAATTCTATTCTTTAGGCAATAAGGCAAACTCATTACTAACTAAATTAATCAAACAACGACGACTAAAATCCATAATTTCTTCAATCCAACATCCGACTACTCATGCCCCGCTCACAAAGCCACAGGAAATTGCTAACGCTTTCGCGATATATTACCAAAAATAAATATAATCTTAAAAACGACCCAGACACAACCCAACCAACGTTTGAATCCATCCAAAAGTTCCTAAGCACTACTAAACTCCCCCAACTTACTCCATCCCAACTTGACTCTATTTCATCTCCAATCTCCCCCATGGAAATAGAAAAAAACATCAAAACTTTACCACTTAATAAATCACCAGGCAACGACAGTTTCACCAACAAATTTTACAGACTATTTGCCTCCGCCCTCTCTCACCATATCTGGCCAAGCTTTTCAACCACGCCACCTCTACAGGCACATTTCCCAAAGAAATGTTACAATCCATAATCACAACTATCCCGAAACCCAACAAAGACCCTCTACTTGTCCAGAATTACAGACCGATATCACTACTTAACATAGACTTAAAACGCTAAAATAATATCCCAAAGACTTCTCCCCTACCTCCCCACATTAATACACCCAGACCAAGTAGGTTTTATCCCTGGTCGCCAAGCTCCTGACGCAAAAGAGAAGACTCATATCCCTTCTTCACAACCTAGAAAGCACCAAACAACCCTCCCTACTACTGTCCTTAGACGCAGAAAAAGCATTTGAACGTATTCAATGCATTTTATACAGCTCACCTTACAAAAATTTGGCATCACAGATTGGATGCTATCCGCAATCCTTTCCCTCTACTCCAATCCATCAGCCAGAGTACTAACAGTTGGAACTTTGTCAGACCCCTTTGACATTTCCAACAGCACTAGACAAGGTTGCCCTTTATCCCCCATAATATTTACCCTACTCATTGAACCCTTAGCCTCAAAACTCAGAGACGACCCAACATTTACAGGAATCACTTATTGTAACGCAGAACACAAAATCAGCTTATTCGCCGACGACATCATATTAATGATAACCAACCCACGCGTATCACTCCGGAATATACGCTCACATCTCCAAGAATACTCGAAAGTATCCTACTACAAACTTAACGAACCCAAATTCTCCATTCTAAATCTCCATACCCCCACTCAAATCCAAAAAATACTTGCCAAACAATTCTCCTTCGTTTGGGAACAACACCATATTCCTTATCTTGGAATTAAACTCACCGCAACGACAGACCAACTATATTCCTCAAACCACAAACTATTACTCAAAACCATCCCACGAGAACTCGCTACTCTCTGTACATCAACACTGTCCAAACTAGGCCGGGTAGCGACGCTGAAAATGTACATACTGCCTAAAATCCTATACATATTCCACACACTTCCCATCCCCATTCCTAATATCTTCTTCTCTAAACTACCAGCAATCCTATCCAACTTTCTTTGGAACTCTAAAAAACCCAGATGTACCACTAACCTCTTAATACGTCCAACATCTAGAGGAGGCACAGGTCTCCTGCACTTAAAGTCCTACTACAATGCCACTCTCCTTGACCAATTATATTTCTGGTGGCACCCAACAAAAGAAAAATTATGGTCTACCATGAAACACTCCCCTACCTTCCTCTCACCCCTTGAAACATACTCTTTGTACCACACACACCCTAAACCAAATACCTACTTAAACACCCATGTATCCAAGCCTCACTTCAAGCCTGGCATGACCTCATAACCACTGCATCTACTGAAACCAAACATATACCCACCACAATTAACACACTACACCTCATTACCCCCTCTCTAAATCTAATACAATGGGAAAACTGTGGCCTACTTAACATAATAGACCTCTACACAGACCACAAACTGATGTCATTCCAGAGTCTCCAACATAAATTTAACCTGCCCGATACTGAATACTTCTCATACTTACAAATAGCTCACTGCTTACAAACAGTAAAACTACCTCATTTAGCCAAAAATTCCCACCAGCGCATACCAATTCTTCAACAAAACAACATACCCGGGTAAAGGTATCTCTACCTTCTACTCGCACACTATAAACTCACATTCACCCTACAAACTACCTCTCTATCTAACTGGGAGAAAATTCTCTCACGACCGATCACATTCGTGGGAAAAAACCTTCTATAATACCTATAAAGCCTCACGATGTAGTTCCCACTGGGAATCTTACCTGAAAATTCTACACCAATGGTACTTGACACCCGTTAAACTCGCACTGTACTACCCACAACACTCCTCCTCCTGTTGGAGACAATGTGGAGAATTAGGCTCAACACTCCATATACTATGGACATGCAAATTACTTAGATCTTTCCAGAATAATGTCTTCCAAATGCTCTCTACTCTATCTAACACTCCAATAACCCCAAACCCTGCCTTTGCGCTCCTCCACATCGGTATTGACAAATTCCCTCGAGACTCTCATATCATCATTATCCATACATTATCCGCAGCCAAAATCAACATTACTAAGCTGTGGAATACTACTAAAACCCCTTCCCTCACCTCTCTGATAACAGACCTTAACTACCAATGTGACATGGAACGAAGATCAGCCCTCACAACTCCACCTACCACACATTTAAGTTCCAGTGGTCTCGTTGGCTTGAAAACCCAAATTGCTCCGTTAAAATCTGATAATCTAATGGTGAATTACCATGACCCCTATACCCAGACTGGTATAAAAAGGGTGTTTCTAGGCTTCAGAGAGCCTTTATATTAGTGCAGAACACTGTACCTTTAATTTAAATGCCCTTGGAGTCTGCTGGGGAAGAGAAATAATACTGTCAATCAGTATGACATGCAGATGAGTGCCGTCGATCTTAGAATCACCGCACACTTCACTCATTTGGGCAGTCACGGGGCCAAAACCAGAGTGTGGAGCCACAGTGTGGCGGTGGAGGCAGCAGCAATGGGAGGCCATACAGCACCCTATGACAAAATGGAACCCACCAGCAGTGTGAGGAGACCTGAAAGTGGCACATGGCAGAGTGTGGCGATGGAGACAGCAGCAATGGGAGGCCGTACAGGGACCCATGAGAGACTCTGGACCTGGCAGCAGCATGAGGAGGCGGTACAGGGGCCCATGACAGATTACGGGCCTGGCATCAGCATGAGGAGTCGGTACGGGGGCCCATGGCAGATTACAGGCCTGGCAGCAGCATGAGGAGGCGGTACAGGGGCCCATGGCAGAGTGGCGGAGCGTAAGCAGCTAAAATTGAAGGCCATACAGAGGCCTATGTTAAAAAGTCCCCCCAGCAGCAGCGTGGGGAGACGACTATCAAGAGTCCAATGGCAGAGTGGCGGAGCAGAAGCAGCTTCAATTGAAGGCCATACACAGGCCTAGGTTTAAAAGTCCCTCACAGTTAATTCCAATGACGAACACTACTCCTCCGTGCAATCTACTTACGAGACCCTGGGCAGGTCTGGGTCCAATTTGTGGTAGAGATGGGTTTTGTTCAGCCATGCTTGAGCGAGTAATAACATTGCCCTTTGGTGGGCTTAATGCCGCACAACACTGAACGTCCCAGCGTTTGTCAAACGATTTGCCGTTAAGTGATGCAAACCCGCTGAACCACGTGGGGCCATTTATGTGGATCAGTATGGTTCTGGCCAGCTTGAGCAGAGTAATAACAGGTCTGTGCTGTAGGCCTTTGGTGTCTGGGCTTAATGCGGAAGCAACACTGAACGTCCCAGCGTTTGTCAACGATTTGCCGTTAAGTGATGCAAACCCGCTGAACCACGTTCATGAGGAGCCGGTACAGGGGGCCATGAATCAGTTATGGACCTGGCAGCAGCAGCGTGAGCAGACGACAGAGGCACATGGCGCAGGGTGGCGGTGTAGGCAGCATTATTCTGAAGCCATACACAGGCCTAGGTTAAAAAGCGGAAGCCGTCAGCAGTGTGAGCAGATGACAGAGACACATGGCGCAGGGTGGCGGTGGATGCAGCAGTATTCGGAAGCCAAACACAGGCCTCGGTTAAAAAAAGCGGAAGCCGTCAGCAGCAAGTGAGCAGACGACAGAGGCACATGGCGCAGGGTGGCGGTGGAGGCAGCAGCAATGAAGGCCATACAGCACCCTATCACAAAATGGAACCCACCAACAGTGTAAGGAGAGACGACTGAAGAGTGGCACAGAAGGCAGAGTCTGGCGAGGATGAAGTCAGCAGCAGTACCCCTGGCAATGGAACGACTATCAGCAGTCCAATGGGAGGCGGTACAGGGACCCATGACACACTCTGGACCTGGTTAAAAAGCAGCAGCAGTGTGAGGAGACGGTATCAGGGGGCCCATGGCAGAGTGGCGAAGCGTAAGCAGCTTAAATTGAAGGCCCATACAGAGG